TAGGGAGAGCCATATGTACGTCTCACTTTCCGACGCTGGCTGCCCCCGCTCACAAGTCCCTCTCCTCCTCCCCCCCCCCCCCTAGAAACCAAATGCGACTTCCTTTGAAAGGGAACTGTCATAATGCCCTGATGAGGGACGAGAGAGCAGTAGGAGAGTCAGGGAGTGTTAAAAAAAGGTGAGAACTCTTCTGCAATGAAAAATGAGAAAAAAAAACTCATTGTATGCAAGACTTCCACGTACAACCATAGCTCATAGATGTAATCTTGTTATAGCCATAGGTTTTCCGATCCAGAAAACTTAGAGGTCCTTCGAAAAAAGGAAAAGTACAGAGCGAATGACGGAGTTTTCGTTATTCCCAAATGTTGAGGAGCTAACAAGCATAAAGGAGCATTACGTGTTGGATGCAGGACCATTTGTTCCTGCGCTCTGCATTCTGGTCACTGGACTATGGAGAATATGACGAAACTGGAGCAAGATTTTTTTTCACATATCGATTTCACCTCGATTTCCACAGGTCATTTCCTTCACCGGTCTATTTCTCATCGTTCTTGTCTACTTCTTGTATGTTCATCCATTCAAGCGGATTCGCTTCGATGTGGACCGCGTTTGACAGAAACTGGCAAAGCACCTCATGAACACTTTATGGCTGTCCTTAATCTGACCATCTAAGCTTAAAAACATAAAATAGATGGACATTACATAGATATCGGGCAGCAAAAAGGTTACGAAACTGACAGTATGATCGAGGGCGGACTCCATTTGGATCTGGACCCAATTCTGTTCGTTAAAACGCTTCCTGCTCATTGAAGGCGACATTCACTAGAAAAACTAGTCACATTCACAGTGACCAGGAGATGAAGGATACTCGAAAAAATCAGCGTTAAGTCTTCCACATTCGTTAGAGGTGCTCTAGAAATAACGCATCACAGTCCAGACCGGCTGGGGTTAATCTCATTGACTGTTTTGCACAACATGCGCCTGTTGATGTTATGTCCTATCATACTGCTTCGAAAATCGTCAGTGTACTGGGCATGTAAGTTCTGAGTCCTCGCAGAGTTGTCTCTTCTGTAGATGTTCAGCAAACCAAATGCGCAATTAAGGTAGGTCGTACGACCGCACTCTCCTCCAAGCCTGTACGCTCTTTCCACTGATAAGTGAAGAGCAGAAGCGAACCCTGCAAGTTAGGTGTCAATGGTAGGGTATATCCACCCGTAAGTTAGCGTGGGTTGTGCGTTTAGGCGCTGAAAGTGACTCATTTTTATTATGTCAGACGCATCATCACACGCATAAATAAGTAAATAGATAAAAAAATAAATGAATGTTAAAGGGTCAGTGTCACTGGAATTTCTAGTTTTCAACACAGCTTTGCAGCATTTGAAGTTGAAGAGATAGTTGAAAGTACACTGACCGTAGAAAAACGGAAGAAAAGAAGTTCAAAGAACAAAAGAAAAAGGAGAAGAGGCAAATCTTCGAGTCAGTTCTTCCGATTTCAGGGGAACCGTGGGCTCAGTGTCAAAGGAAAAGGGCTACTAAAGGCACTGCTCATTCCGATCTAGTGGGCGGAGTCATTTGTACCATTGCGTTTTCCTTATCGGGGTGCCTAGCGTATCTGCCATAAAGAGGAAGAGATTTTCAATGAGAGCGTCCAAGTGGTTGTTTGAACTTCATGGGTGGAAGAGCTGTGTGGGGCGTGACCAGAGGCCCTCTCGCAACCCTTCCACCAATGACGTTGGCAACGACCGCCCGCCTACGGCGTCGTGCCCTCTACCCTTAACTGATAAATAAGAATACAGATAAAAAGTAAATGAATCTTGAGTCACGGGGGCCTCGTAACTCTTGTAGGTTAGAACCAACAGGAAAAGAGCAAACCCTATTGTGCATTTCCTATAGCTCGCTGTGGACTCGAACTCTTATACATTTCTTTGTGACTCGTGCTCTACCTATTTATGTACGAACCAAAAACAGTTTGTTTCTTTTATCTAATAGTAAGATACGTCTCTGAGGGAACTTTTCACGATGATCATATAGGCGATCATATAGGCAAAGTTGTGCGCGCCATTCTGCCTTCCCAAATAATGCGCGACTTCTTTCCAAGCGAAAGAAGTCGCGCATTATTTGGGAAAGAAGTGAAAAGGAAAGCGATAGCAGTAATCCAATGAACTGGCTAACTCCGCCCATGCGAACAACGTGGAGTGTGCCTCGATGCCTTTTCTTCACCGATTTCCACAGTGAACCTGCAACTGCTTCACGTTCTCTTTTTGGTTCCACTGATCATTGCTCACACCCAACATACAAGTCATCCCATGCATGTGTTCGTAATTTTCAGTAGCTGCTGGTCATTTTTTCATTCCTCTCCTTTCCATTGACGGGATTCGGTAAGTGTGCATGCGTAGATATGTAGTGAAAATGGTAGAGAATAAGAAATCAAACTTCCGCACCTTAACGACAATACGATAGGCGATGGCGCCGTACTTGCCGTCGAATGATCCCGGAAGATTTGTTGGCAGCATTAGCAACATGGGCAGTCGATGATAGCCTTCAGCGAGCACCATTGCTCCCTGAAACGTTTTCAGTGTGAAAGTCGACTCTACCTCTTATGCTGAGGCCAATCAAAAAATGGTTAAGGAGGTATCCGCAGAGCCAAGAATTCTCGGAAAACGTTTACTATGGCGAGGATTTTGCTTAAAAGAAAATGAGCGCAGGTTGACAGGCGCTGATTAACCTACTGCCACGAACAAACAGTTCAGTGCGATCAGAATGGTACACTATTCCTCAAAACACCTAATCGGTTCCATGTAACGGCAATGCGCCTAGCGCATAATGGGACTGGCAACGTTAGCTGTTTATACCATTTTCACTTTAAATCGGACACTTTTCAAACCAAATCGGACACTTTTCAAATCGGACACACCCCTTACAATGGGCAGTTGAGAACTAGACCACACTAGGTACTGCTGCAAGCCCCGCCCCAACACCCCGCCCACTTCTTAGCGCGGCCGTGGTTTTCCAAATGTTTTATGAATTCTGCTTCTTCGAATTTTTTTTCACTTTTGCTACTTGACACAAACACTTTAACTGATAGGTTCGATACCAACACATATAAGACTCGCCATTTCCACATGAGTGACGTAAGTTCTGATATTTGTTATAATTTTTTCGATGTTTTTTTTTTTTCACATTCAAAAAATTCTCCAGACAAAACGAATTTAGTCATGCATTTACACACTAGCACCCAAAGCTCTGCCCCTCTGACCACGCCCACTTTCGTTTTTCGTGGAACTTTGATTTTCTTCCGAATTTTCAATTTTTTAGACTGTCACAGCGCTAATACTCCGGCTTCGCGGAGTGAAGCTCCGCTCACTTTGTAGAAGCTCCGCCCATTCTTTTCAAAAATAGTGCAGATCGGCGCGCTGGTGACCGTACTAGCAGGTTATGGACTCTGTCGTCATATACATTGAAAAAAAGACCAGAAAAGGGAGAGCTTCGTTGCTGGATGAGGGAGAGGCTACAACATGCCAGTACGGTCACTAGCTCGCTGATCTGCAGCATATTTTAAAGTGGGCGGAGCTTGTACGAAGTGGGCGGAGCTTCCAGTAGTGGGGCCGCTTGTCACGGCAGCTAAAAGTGAAAATTCGTAAGAAAAATCAAAAGTTCTGCGAAAAACGAAAGTGGGCGTGGTCAGAGGGGCGGGCTTAGTACGCTAGGTGTGATAAATGGCATGACTATTTCGTTCTGTGAATTGATGTGAAAAAAAATCGTCGAAAATAAGTTTACAAACTCGGAACCTTACGTCACTGTCATCGCAAGTGGGCGAGTCATATATATAGGCGCGGTAGCAAAACTATTAGTTGAATGTGTGTGTTGTGATGTGTGTGTCAAGCAACGAAGTGAAAAAAATTAGAAGAAGCGAGATTCCATAAAACGATTAATGGAAAACAATGGCCGCGCTGAGGAGTGGGTGGGCTTGCAGCAGTACCTAGTGTGGTCTAGTTCTCAACTGCCCATTGTAAGGGTGTGTCCGATTTGATTTGAAAAGTGTCCGATTTGGTTTGAAAAGTGTCCGATTTGGTTTGAAAAGTGTCCGATTTAAAGTGAAAATGGTATTAATCCTTCTAGCCTTTTAGTATTGGAACTTATCAGATTTTATAGTTTTGCGTGTCCATTCGTTCATGCGAAACTATATTGTAGCTAATGAAGGGTTGGTGAGACCTGGCGAAAAAGTGACCTGTTCAAAGTGAACGCACAGGCCCTGTGTGTAGTACAGCGGTTCTTGCCAGTGCAGCGTTGCTTAGGTGAATTCAGTCATTCTGCCAGACGATTGTGGAACTCACCTTCGTTGTAGGTAAAAGAAATTGTTGAATAGGAACAGGGATTCTATTTGAGATCAGCGTATGAATGGAATCGTGACCGGCAAAGGAAGAGCGACATCGGCCCTAAAAATTAAAACCATTACTCATTGAGCACTGCCATCGCTAATAAGAAGTGACTATGAGTTATGTAAAAAAAACTTTGCCCCAGGAGGATTGCTTATTTATGGAGTGAGGCGCCATTAGTAGCTTGCGTTTTGCCTCAGGCAGAACTCGAACTTAGACCTAGTACAGTATGTTCTTCGTTTCAAGCTCTCTTCATCTTAATGATTATAATAGATCTAAAGCCCGTCTTGAGTCCTGAATAAGACAAAGTTCTGCCCCCTTCTTGAGGCCATATCGTGACTTGATGTGTAGGAAAACTGCAGATACCAGAATAAAACAAATTTAGCGGCTGTTTGAATTCTGTTACAATCGCCGCTTTTCTTGGAAGCTAATTCTACCCAAGAGGTTTGAATCAGACCCAGGTTGAGTGAACTGCTCAATGTTTCTTCCATCTGCAGTAACAGAGGGGCATTCAGGGATAGCTGCGTTCATACCTTGCGGGCGTCTACCAGCGAGCACCAGCGTCCGCTACGAGCAGGAGTACAAAGTATGGAGAAGTAGGAGGGAGGATAGGTATTAGGCGTCGTGAAGTTGTTCCGTGTACAAGCGTACCGTACGACACAATACTATGCTTCTGGTCGCTGCTGGACGCTGGTGGTCGCTGGTGGATTCTGATAGAAGCTAGATCGATATCCATAGTTTCCTAGTCGCTTGAAACGCTGACGCTGATGGACGCTGCCGCAAAGTATGGACGCAGCCTTTCTTTCCAGAAACGTTTTCTTGTGGGTAGTAGTGATATACATATGCACGGACCACA